TTGGGGCTGAGACTTCTTTCTTTACTATATTCCTAGTATCTAGCATGTGCCTGGTATACAAGTACACAATAAAAATCTGTTGATCAGACCACAGCAGATGCCCAATTCGGGGAGATGACTGAATGTGTTAACATGTAATATACACAATTGGTGAGGAGATGAAAAAGAGTTGACTGTTGCCAAATTCAGAGGTAGAAGAGTTGAACAGGTACAGAGGAGAAGAAAAATCACACTGCTTTGTAAAACACTGAGAAGGTAACACAATATATAGGTGAAAGCAGACTTCAAAAAGGATGTATACTTTCCATGAGAAACAGATGTCAAACATCAATGTCACAGAATTTCCCTGGGACTTTCATGGAGGCTTAGCATGAAAGGAGGTGTAACTACCTCCCCCCACCAACTACGCAGGATTGACAAAACAGCGCAGTGGGGAGGGAGATACGTACTGGGCGAATGTCTGCTGAGCTCCAGCTCTGGTCTCTCCAGGCTGCTCTGAAAGTCAGGAGGCAGCAGGGAAGCCACTCCCTCAGGATGGATCATCTCGTCCTCCGACTCAGCTGAAGCTTCTGCAAAGTACAGATCGGGTCGGGGCAGGGAGGGAGTGAAGGACTCAGCATGTAGGAATATGTAGAGGAGTGAAGGAGGTCAGCAAAGTCACAGATACAGAGATACATACCAAAAAGAGCACCATATACAAAGAAAAAACTCCCTGGGATTCAGCACTACTTCATCTAAATGGTAGCTTAATTTACTTATAACTCTTCCTGTTGGCAGGAATCCTCTTCTAACAAGACAGTCAAATTAAGTGTCCTCTTCCCTGACAAAAGTAAATAGTAAATCACTTGGCTTCATGGGCTATGAAAGCAAGTAAGTAGCAGTCTCAGCCTCACTTATTTTTGAAATTGCCTAGTTAGACAGGCCTATCTACTCGGTGACAGGGCTAAGAATGACGAACTCCTTGTTAAAAGTGACAATCTGGGCTTACCTTCAAGTTCTGCAGCTTCTCGAGCTTCACGTTCCAGACGCTGCCTAAGTAGCTCCTGCTGCTTTTCCAGATACTGTTTTATGAAACTGTTCTGGCTCATTTCCTCACCAATCTGTGTAGAGGAAATGAAAAAAGAGGGTCTAGGAAAACAAACCAGGAAAATGCAAAGAAGAAAATTCCATGGAGCAAAGTTGGACCCAAGAAAGATAACTAAAATGTTGGGAAGCTCTTTTCTAAGTTGGTTCTATATTGCAGAAAAGAATAGCCTTGAGTCACCAAAAAAAGGGCAAAAAGAAACCTGCATATAATTTTTTGTTTTAAATACTCAGTTTCCAAAGAGTGATATTGGTACACAAATTACTTTTTTTAATTTTTATTTTCTAAGACAGAGTTTCACTCTGTTGCCCAGGCTGGAGTGCAGTGGCGTGATCTCAGCACACTGCAACCTCTGCCTCCTGACTTCAAATGATTCTCCTGCCTCAGCCTCTTGAGTAGCTGGGATTACAGGTGTGTGCCACCATACTCGGCTAATTTTTGTATTTTTAGTAGAGACAGACTTTCACTATGTTGGTCAGACTGGTCTCAAACTCCTGACCTCAAGTGATCCACCCGCCTCAGCCTTCCAAAGTGCTGGGATTACAGGTGTGAGCCACCGTGCCCAGCCACAAATAACCTTAAATTAAAATTCCTGTAATTATACCTTTTAGGCTAAATTCCTAGATTACGTGGAACATTATCTAAAGGGTAATCTAAAATTCCCTTTTGGTAGTATCAAGACTGAAGCATGGTAGCTCACATCTGCAATTCCAGTACTTTGGGAGGCTGAAGTGGGAAGACTGCTTGAGCTCAGGAGTTCGAGACCAGCTTCAGAAACACGGTGAAACCCGTCCTAACCAAAAATACAAAAAGCTGGGCATATTGTGGTGTGAGTTTGTCATCCTGGCTACTCAGGAGGTGGTAGGTGCAGTGAGCCGAGATCGTGCCACTGCACTCCAGCCTGGGTTTAAACAACAAGACTCCATCTCAAGAAAAAAAAAAGCCAGTTCCTCCAAAAGATCAATCGTTACCTAGTCAGGAAACATTTCTTTTTTTCTTCGAGGTGGAGTATCACTCTGTCACCCAGGCTGGAGAACAACGGCGCGATCTCGGCTTGCTGCAACCTCTGCTTCCCAGGTTCAAGTCATTCTCCTGCCTCAGCCTCCCAAGTAGCTGGGATTACAGACATGTGCCACCATACCCAGCTCATTTTTGCATTTTTAGTAAAGACGGGGTTTTGCCATGTTGGTCAGGCTAGTCTCAAACTCCTGACCTCAGATGATCCACCCGCCTTGGCCTTCCAAAGTGCTAGCATTACAGGTGTGAGCCACAATGCCGGGCCTCATATCCAGGAAACATTTTATCAAACATCTCCAAAATTCAAGTATAGTATTTAAAAGCATGAAATCAAGAGACTAAGAAAAGGGATATCCATTGAGCATTTAGACAAAGTTATAACTCCATTTTGTATAGGTGAAAGGAAATCCTTGGTAACAGGAGCTTATGCCTTTTCCTATTTTTTTTCTGTAACAGATTCCCAAGTTGCTCTTCTGACCTCCAGCTTTCTCTTCACAAGTTCTCCTCCCTAGAACCTTCTTGCTTAGCAAGTCCTATTTAGAACTCCCCAAAAAGCAAAAAAAACCTGAATACTTTCTAGTCATTAAGTCATGTTTCCTAAACATAGTAAATGTTTATTTTCAACTAAAGTAGAAATGAGCCTCTTGGCACTCAATGGACATTGCCTAAGGGTGGGTTGCATGTATTACAGAATAGGCATGTTTGCTGCAAAACCCCTGTGTTAATAAAAGCAAAGCTTCAAAGACTTGAAAAGAATACAATTAAGCTGATTAACTTATGCAGTTTCTTATGCTTGTTAAAGTACTTAATTGAACCTCTGAAAGCTGGCTAGATTATGATACTTACAGCTTAATGAGGTGATAACAAGGGAGTAGGAGGGCTCTCTTGTTTTCCACAGTATCCTGGGACTTCATCTAGTACTGAGGCTGCACACCACTGCTTTAACAAAGACTTGGATTTTTCCTTTAAGTATATGACACATTATAAAGAGGGGATTTTCAAAAACTGAAAGAAACTTTAAGAGACTGTGCAGCCTTATAATTTTTGGATTTTAACTGTGGAATAATTTAAAAGACATCTTATGCAGAAACTCAATAGTCAAAGCGGATAAAAGTAGATCTAATCTAGTTTAAGAGAGATGAGCCTTGCTTACTTGAGAAAAAGGTATTTCCCCTAAGAAGCTCCCCAAAGCAGCTCCACAAAACCCCGAGAGCAGTTATAAACCCATGGGTTTAGTTTGACTTTTTCTCATATTACAGATAAGGAAATGGAGGAAACCAAGGCCTCCAAAGGTTAAGTTTCTTATCCTAAGAAAAGGAGCTATTAGTAATGCTTATGAATAAGTGCATTGAGTTAGTAGTTAACACTAGTAATGGTGGGTGACTTACACAGGATTGAACCCTTGGTAAATCTACATCAACAAGAGTTCTTAATTAGCAACTATTTTCCTACACTGTCACATTGGTGGTCTACTTCATATCTATACTCAAAGACATCAACTACCTTTCCTAAATTCATGGCAGATAAATGACTTCAGATCTCTGTACTACACGTAATTAATGGAAGCCACACCTTTCTGCACATACCATTTCAATTATTATAAACTAATAGCGCCTCTGATTCTGTTCTTTACTCCAGGCCCTTGTATACAACTGGGTGATTCGAATTCAACTGTCCTGGTTTGAGAACATTTCTGACCAAGGGAACTTAGGAAAACAGTCGTGAGGAATTAAGCATGAAATATACAACACCACATCCTGCCATGTGTCTGTACATCCAAAGAGCCCACTCCATTGAATAAACCTTTCTCACCTGGGAATTTGGCTGGAATGCAGCATGGGGTGTTGAGTGTTTCTGTAAATTTTCTAGCATTAGAGCCTGGTATAGAGAAGGGTAAAAGTCAGAAATGATGAGGAAAAAAAAAGAAAAACTCCCACCTCTACCACAACCTCTTAATTAAATGCAATGACTTAAATACACACAATTAAACTGTACTCCTCTTTCAGGGACCTGAAAATCCTTTACTGACACTGTTCTCATTCATCACCAGAAGACCCTTAAAGGTAGCCATGGTTACTGTTACTAAACGTACAGATATAAAATGCAGGCACACAGAATCAGTGACCTGGCTATGTCACAATATCAGTAATAGAACCAGTACTAAAATCCCTGTTGTCTTCTGCACTTGTGCCAAGTGCCCCTTCTAAATCTGATCATGCAGGTAAAACTACTTAAAAATACTCAAACCAGCAGCCATGGGGCTCCTGGTTTTTGCCTGATGGAATTACTTGGTCAAAGGGTTACCCAGGACTAGAGTCAATTTGTATAATTTCCAGTACTGTGGCACCTAGATTTACCAAATTTACAAAATTTTCAAAGAGGAGGCTACAGAAGAAAATGACCAGAGACCCTATGAAATGTAGTCTAACCTAGTCCGTCCATCCACACACACACACACACTATCAGCTTCTGTATAAGCAACGGTCTGCCAACTCAACCCTGGAGCCAACCCAGACCTAATCTGCACTACCTGCCACGTATCCTATTGAACTCTAATTAAAACCAAGACATCCTCATCTTCCCTTCTTTAAACCAAACCTATACATTTGAATCGATCTACACCTACCTCATGACATTCCCACCTTAATCTACTTAAACTGATTCAAAATCCCCAATATATATCAACCTGCGTCGCCTCTCTCACCAATATTCACCAAACTCTTAACTACCCAAATTGCCACTAGATGCCCTATAAATTAGACACCTCTCTCACCAAGTCCCTTCACATAAAGGTCCCTCTTCATCTCACCTCATCTAATCGAGCAGACATTTTACCCTACCCCAATCCTATTCCTGCAGATACCGATACCAACCCCATCCACCCCTCCGCGCAACTATACCCCTAACTCCGACCCAGCCCAACTCGCCCCCCTCAGGCCAGCAACGCCGTAGGTTGTAGTGGGATTTAACTCCTTCTGCAGCGCATGCGCCGAAACCACAGATACAAACAAGGAGGGGGTGGGGGAAGGAGGAAGGAGCTTAAGACACTCCTGGAGAGTAGTGCACACCCTCCCATTTGGGCTCGCGCTGCTGCCGTTAAGGCGGGAACCGGCGCGATCGCCATTCCAGCGCGAACCTCACCAACCACCGTGCGCGCGGATCCAGAGGCTCGCGCTGGCGGCCTGAGCGAGCTCGCGCCGAGCCCGGATACTGCGCCTGCGCCGCGGCAGAGGCTCGTCTCTACCGGGTCCGCTCTCCTCCGACACCCCAGCAACGCCGACTCCTCACCCCTTTGAGCCGCTTGACCAGGGCACTCTTCTGCCCGCTCTTGGCTAGGCCTCGCTGCTCCAGTGCGGCCTTCAGGTCGGTCACCCGCAGCGCCTGAAGAGGCTTCCCGTCCAGAGTCACCTCCTCCAGCTCCGCCATCTTGCGTGAGGTACTCGGGTCCGTCCCGACGGCTTCGGGCATCTTCGGTAATTTCCGCCAACGCCCTTCGAACGTACCGAGATGACCCCGCCCACTGCCATACTCTACCCCTCGATTACCACTCAGAACTCCCCGGCTTCCTCCGGATGTCCTCGGATATTTCCGTCTCCACATCGGCACCAATCAATTCTTTCCATCCGCCCTGCAGCTCCCCTATTCTCGCCCTGCTTTCAGGCTCGGTTTTCTTCGTCTTGCCGAAGCTTTGAATCGAATATATTCGGAAGCCCTCGACTCTGGTATAACCATAATCGGAGATGTTCGTTTATCTCCGGACCTAGAGATGAGGCGCTGGGGCGCTTGGGTGTTTGGGGCGGGTCCGAGGCCGGAAGTGCGTGGGCTGCCGGGCTGGCCCAGCTTAGGGTTTTCAGGAAACTTGGAAGCCGCAGCGGTAGTTGGAGTCTAAGGACTCCTGACAATCTTCGGGTGCCCTCCGAGAGAAAAGGGGAGGTAAGCGGGGTGGAAGTACCTCTATGGGCCGGGTCAGACTCGGTGTTTGCGGACTATCCTAATAGGGCAAGCCACCTACTCCTTAACGCAAACAGCTTCTGCCCTCTGTCCTCTGAATCCCAGCCACTCCCATCTTAGGCTTTTTTTTTGGTGGGGCCTGTGGAGGGGGGCGGAATCGGAATAGCAAGCTCCGTGGCCTCCAAAGTGGGGAAGAGGCAGGCAGCGCCGTGTCTTCGGACCCAGACTATGAACTGATTTATGACGCTCAACTTGAGTTTGAGTTTGCGTTTGCCTTGGAAGCCGTGTGGCAAGATTCTGGGAAAATTCTCCGTTTCTCCGAAGAAGAGAGTAAGTTCCCTTGGAGGAACTGCTTCCTGTAGGGCAAGAACTGAAAAATGCAAGCGCCCTGAACTTTTTTGGTACTTGAACTCATATTGTTTAGGGGCTTCTTTCTTTGTCACTAGCAATCCTCCAACTTGATGCAGAAGAAACACAAACAGTAAAATAGGTCACAGACAAATGGTTTAGAGATTTAAGAGATATGTTAGAGATTTAAGAGACTGAAAACTATTGAAGTCAAATAGGCTGATCTTTCCGTTGCATTCATGATGCAAAATTAATGTCAAGGCGCCGGGCGCGGTGGCTCATGCCTATAAGCACTTTGGGAGGCCGAGGCAGGCGGATCACTTGAGGTCAGGAATTGGAGACCGGTCTGGCCAATATGGTGAAACCCCGTCTCTAGTAAAAATACAAACAAATTAGCCGGGCGTATGCCTATATTCCCAGCTGCTCGGGAGGCTGAGGCAGGAGAATTGCTTGAACCCGGGAAGCGGAGGTTGAAGTGAGCTGAGATGACGCCATTGCACTCCAGCCTGGGCGACAGAGCAAGACTCCGTCTGAAAAATAAATAAATAAATAAATAAATAGCAAGGCACCAATAGATGCCATACTAAAAAAAAAAAAAAATTTTTTTTTTGTCACTCCACTCTGGGTCACTCCACTCTGAACCAGGCTAGAGTGCAGTGGTGTGATCAGGGCTCACTGCAGCCTCAACCTCCCGGGCTCAGGTGATCCTCCTACCTCAGCCTCCTGAGTAGCTAGGACTACAGTTAGGCACCTCTACGCCCAACGAATTTTTAAATTTTTTGTAGAGATGAGGTTTTGCCATGTTGCCCAGGCTGGTCTTGAACAACTGGATTCAAGCTATCCTCTTGCCTCGGCCTCCCAAAGTGCTGAGATTACTTTGGAAGTGCAAGAGCCACTGTGTCTGGCCCATACTAAATATTAAGGGCAATTGTTTAAAAACATGGATTGTCATGAAGTAGTGTAACAGTTGTTAGATCTCTAAGCCAACAAACCAACTGGACTCTTTTTAAAGTCTCAAACACCCAGGCTTCTGGTTCTTTTACTGCGTTACCTTATTTTGAGCAAGGCTCTTACTCTGCTCTGTAACTTTTTCTGGGGCTTTACAGGAAATGTAAGGAGGTAACAAATGTTATGAAGTTCTTGGCATATTTCAGAGGCTTATATGCACATTGAAACCTCTTTCATCATAAATAATTTTTTTTCTTTCTTCCCCCACTGTTGATAGCTACAAAACAACTAGCATCAGCCTTGACCAGCTGCACGTACTAGATTTTAAAATGTATGCTTTTTCGTTTTGGAGAAGATGTGATGGACCAACGTTAATCATTGTTTTTTTCTTTACCCAGCCTGGCACATAGAAGTAAGAGGGAGAGAGTGAACAAGAAATATATTGGTTATTTTTAGGTTCTTTATAAGAAAGATGGAGGGTAACAGTGGGTAGGGAAGAATGGGTTTGAAAAAGGCAGGCAAATAGGAAACGAAGTTATTTTTGGTGACTTCTCTAAGGTAGTTGGATAATCGAAATAAAAGACTTTATTAATTTTGGGTCTTTGAATTCATAAAAAGTAATTTTCTCTGTAGATGCTAATTGAGTGTGGTAAGATGTCTTGTTGCTTGAAAGTTGTATTTTCGTTGCTCTACCTGGAGAGCGTATAACAGTGCTTTTATGTTTCAGGATGCCACTGGAGTCATCCTCTTCAATGCCGCTATCCTTCCCATCTCTCTTACCCTCAGTACCACACAATACTAACCCTTCCCCTCCTCCGATGTCTTACATCACCTCCCAGGAGATGAAGTGTATTCTTCACTGGTTTGCCAATTGGTCAGGTCCCCAGCGTGAACGTTTCCTAGAGGACCTGGTAGCTAAGGCAGTGCCAGAAAAATTACAGCCATTGCTGGATAGTCTGGAGCAGCTTAGTGTGTCTGGGGCAGACCGACCACCTTCTATCTTTGAGTGTCAGCTACATCTTTGGGATCAGTGGTTTCGAGGCTGGGCTGAGCAGGAGCGCAATGAGTTTGTCAGACAGCTGGAGTTCAGTGAGCCAGACTTCGTGGCAAAGTTTTACCAAGCAGTGGCTGCTACAGCTGGTAAGGACTGATAGGCATTCAGACCAAAGAAGATAACCATAGCTGATGGAGCCAAGGCCATGACTCTCTACAATGATAATTCAAATGTGTCATCTAAAGCTCTGGAACTGGTATTCAGACCAGCTGACTGAACTCACTGACCAGTATAGGCATGGTTATTTCAACAGTAATAGCATGTCAACTGGACTCCTATTTGTAAATATTATCAATCTAAGCAATCCCGCTTATCAGTCTACTAGTTTGCTTCTTTCCAAGAGATGTCAAATCCTCAAGAATTTGATGGCTTCTTCTGCAGCTATAACCAAAAAGAACCTACACATTATAACTCAGGCCCACTGCTGGCTCATGAAGTGTGTAAAGTAGAACCCTCCTTCCCCAGAAATAAGACAGGACAATAAAAGGTGGCATTTTTATAATTTACCTGGATTCCATTGGCTGGTTTTACCACTCCTATCAGATTCTAGTGTAATTGTGTGATACCCAAACTATTAGCTTTCCCAGTGATGATTTAATAAAATTATGAAAAATCAGGAGAGAGATAATTAGTTGCTTCTTTCTCCACACTGAATCCAAATCACAATGACTTTTTTTTTTTTTTTAAGAGACAAGTTGTCGCTCAAGTTTGGAGTGCAGTGGCATGATCATCAGTGAGTGCGAGATCACTGTAACCTCAAATTCTAGGCTCAAGTAATCTTTCTGCCTCAGTCTCCTGAGTATTCAGGACTACAGCCTCGCACCACAATATTTTAAAATTATTTTGTAGATATGGGGGTCTTGCTACGTTTTCTAGTCTGGTCTTGAATTGCTGGCCTCAAGCAATCCATTCTCCCCTTGGCCTCCCAAAATGCTGGGATGACAGGCATGAACCATCATACCTGGCCTTTTTCTAAGGCATATGCATGTGATACTCTTGGAACTGGTAGCAGGTGTTCCTATTCTGTAAGTTTGCTTCATAACAATATTAAAACAGGTGACAATTTACAGGTTGAACAGTTTATTTTTGTACCAAAATAAAGAATGGATCTTTAAAACTGTAAAACTTCACCCTTTTTTTCTTTGCCAGGCTATATAAAATTGATATCCGGGGAAAGGCATTCCAAAGAAAGTAGAACTTAAGTATACACAATAGATTTTCCATCCAGTTGTCTCCCAAGAAATGATTCTCTTTCTTACACCCTGTCATGTTCTGGGCAACATCACACCTCCCTTATCCCTCTAACTGGGACCCTTGTGCCGTGGAGCTCTGGTGAATGGTAAGAGGGAGATGGTCTCACAGGAAGAGTGGCTCTTTTCTGGTAGGCTGTGGTTCCCAGTACACCCACAAAGATTAGCAGCATTAGGCAGAGTCCCACGGACAGTCTTAGGTGGGTCACGGAGGGATTATGGTCCGAAGTAACCAGCAACCTAGGAACATAGAAGGTAATATTTGGCTTGGAATAATGCCTAGGCTTAGTAGATAAAGGGGCATTACCTTTTGTGTGTGTTTTTTTTTTTTTTTTTTTTTTGGAGACAATTTCTTGGTCTGTTGCCCAGGCTAGAGTGCAGTGGTGTGATCTTGGCTCACCGTAACCTCCGCCTCCCAGGCTCAAGCGATTCTCCTACCTCAACCTTCCAAGTAGCTGGGACTACAGGCGCATGCCGGGCCACCACATCTGGCTAAGGGGCTTTGCCCTTAAAGATAGAGCTCATTGGCCGGGCGCGGTGGCTCAAGCCTGTAATCCCAGCACTTTGGGAGGCCGAGACGGGCGGATCACGAGGTCAGGAGATCGAGACCATCCTGGCTAACACGGTGAAACCCCGTCTCTACTAAAAAAAAAATATATATATATATATATATAGAGAGAGAGAGAGCTCATGAAACCTCACCTCATCCAAGCATTAGGCTAAACAGGAAATCATTAAGAGGGACTACAGAACATGAAAGTCGAAATAAGGTCAAGATCTAAGTCTTCTAGCATCTTAAATTATTGGAAGAAGAGCTAACTTGGCGGCGAGGGAAGTGGCTTAGGGGAAGAGTCAGTCTATGGTCTTTAGGTAGCTAGGCACAATCCCTAACAGTGCTTAAGAAAGGAAGGGGGCCAGGAGTGGTGGCAGTGGCTCCCAGCACTTTGGGAGGCAGAGGCGGATGGGTTGCTTTAGCTCAGGAGTTCGAGACAAGCCTGGGCAACATGGTGAAACTGTTTCTACCAAAAATACAAAAATTAGCTGGCATGGTGGTATGCACCTGTAGTCCCAGCTACTTGGGAGGCTGAGGTGGGGGAATCACTTGAGCCTAGGGAGGTTGAGGCCACAGTGAGCTGAGATCACCCCACTGCATTCCAACCTGGGTGACAGAGTGAGACCCTGTCTCAAAAAAAGAAAAAAAAAAAAAGGCAGGGGGGTGGAACTAAGATCCGATCCCTGTGTCCTAGAGATGGGGGAATGTGTTATTGTATGGGAGAAGGGAGCCAGGTAGTGACATGACTGGATGATCGTGTTAGTTAGGGATCTTTGTTCTCTGAAACGCAACCCTGTCTAGGACAATATACACATGAGTGAGTGCTTAATAAATTTAATTTCTATATCTGGACTCCATGGATTTGAAAGAAAAGTACTTGGAATATTATCTTACTTGCTGGGTTGTGTGGTAAAGTTGGCTCCTCCATGATACACTTCTAGGGGTTTTTTCTGGAGAGTCAGAGTCAGGGCCCTGTGCAGCATAGCCACTGAAGGCCCTTGGCAGCCAGGAGACTTCCACATATGCACAGTAAACACCAAGCTAGTGGTAATTGATGGGCTGTGGAAATAGCACCTAAATGGACATTTGAAAATTTTAATAGAGGTATAGTTCCTGGCAGAGTATATGTCATGAAACAGGTGCAGGCTTAAGAGTGGGATGAACAAAAGGTCTTCAGAGGAGAGTCATCAAGTAAAGGACTTAGGGATTCTCCTTGACCCATTGTATAAATACTCAAGCTTTTACCTGCCAGTGCCACCTCTGCTCACCAAAGCCTGCAGTACTGCTTCAGCCAGCCCTTCTTGCTGTTCTTTCCCCAGACAGTGGCCTGGAGGCCCAGCTAATCCTAAAGAGAGCTGGAATAGTGGATCTGGGGTTGAAAGACTCACAGGTGGGGAAGTAACAGCATTGATACCTTCATTAGTCTGACACAGCCGACCCCGGGGACAGAAGAGAAGACCATAGTACCCAGGTATCTGCAAGGAAATATGTAGCAGGATATGGTTTTGCTTTGATTATCTGTTCAAGTCTTCTAAGGAAAATGTATTCTAGGTCAGAGTCTGGACTCAGTGGGTACTTAGGAAAACTGTATGTACAGCAAAACAGGTTGGACAGTACCACCATACAAGTATTTCCCAACTTCTTTTTGCCAGTATGCCGCAACTATTCCTCTTATGGTACCCACCTGTATAACTTTTCCTGGAAGGCATGGGACCCAAGGTGAGCCCTCCACCTGCACCTTATAAGCTCCCCTCCCTGTGCATTGATGTAAGTAGCAGCGGCCCACGAGCTCTGCTTCCTTGAGGTGTGGGGTAAGAGAAGGATGCCTGGTCTTATCCCCAGGGAGCAGCTGTGAAGTGAGGTTGGCAAAGAAGCAACGGCTCTGGGAATGGTAGATTTCCCCATGGGGATTCTCCACCCCAGCAGGGAATCCATTTTCCTTCTTCCAGCATTCACTCTGAGGGGCAGGTCAGAAGGTAGAATAGTGTTTGTTCTGATGCCTTTGAAGTTGACTCCCTTCCGGAACCACTCAGTTTCATTGTCTGCTCTCTTGTCTACTCACCCCATTGGCTAAGGGCTTGTACATGCGGCAGCCTTCCAGCATGGGGTCTGAGGAGCAGCTTCCTTTGTCCAGATGCAGGTAGTGGCAGCCCAGCCCACTGTGTGGAATGGATGATAGAGTGACACTAGGATCACTGACCGCCGTACAGTCCCCTAACCACTCAGCACACACACCTGCCAGTACAGAAGAAGTCTGAGGAGCCAGTCCCACATGTGGTCACCAAGCCAAATTCCGGGCCAGATCCTGCTTGAGAGATAAGAAGGAAAGAGAGCCCTCAACAAATGAAGCCCAAACATCCTTCCGCACCAGCTATCCTCATAGCTTTGATTATACATCAGCAACAGAAACCCCTCCAGCCTCCCACTTCCCCCAGAGCTGACTTGGGTCGTGAGTGCCTCTCTGCAGATCTGCCTTATTTCTCACCCTGGCCCCACAACAGCTCCTCTGCAGCGCTGTGGTTGACCTGGTACCAGCCTGAGTCTTCGAAGGCAGCGAGGGTGATTGGGTCGAGTCGAGTGCGCTGGGCTCCATCAAAGGTAGCAGTCATTAAAGAACCCTGGAGTAGTCTGGCCTCCCAGTGTGAGGACAAAAGGCCCTCCTGGAGGAGGTGGCAGATGGCTGGTTGTTACCTGGCTACTCCTTTCTTCCATTACCCCAAGGTGTTCTCATTCTCACCTCTTCTTCCAAGGGAACACCCAGTGAAGCCCCCGGCACTCCCAAGTGTTTGGCCAGGCTGAAGCTAACAGCTGGGGTGGTGAGAAGCAGTTGTCCCCACTCATCTTGCCTTGTCACTTGTTGCCTTGTAGAACAGTTCTCTCTAACTGAGTGCACAAAGGGAAGAAGGCAATACGAGGAGAGGAAGACTTAGAAAGGGTGAAGTGAAATTAGAAGGAAGGAGGTTATGAGATAGTGAATTCCCTCTGGTTGATCGTGGGAAGTCCTTAACCTCATTCCTCTCATTTACCGCTGAATCCTGAGGGGCAGTCTTGCCATTTCTTGAAGAGCTGTTCAGAGAAACCTAAGGCATGTAGCAATTCATGTAGTGTGGCCTAAGGACAAATGACAGCCCAGTAAGGGGGCCAAATTTGCAGCAGGATTGACCAAACACTCTATACCCCTCTGCCCAATCAGCTCTTCCTAGAGCTTGAGGCACCTTCTATTCCATCCTCTGTGGGTTCTTTGACTTTATGGGAAACTGAGTAACCTGGCCCCCTACCCTGCAACCTGTTTGCTTCTCCCTATTCATCATGCAGCAGTCACCATGACGATGTCACTGTGGCTGAGGCTGGGGCTGGTGAGATGTTGGGCACAGTAGACAATGGTGCCGGCGAGAGGCCTGTCTTCTGAGTCCAGCTGGCAGCAGGCAGCATAGGCTATGACAGAGGGCTGTGGATGGGACAGGACAGGGTAGGACCAGAAAGAAGAAAAGTAGGGTATCACAAATAAAAGAAATCCTCTGAAAATGGAGGACCAGGGGACTCTGCAAAACTGTGCAGGAGTGGTATTGAGGGATGGCTATGGGTGGGAGTAGCCTTTACCCAAACCTTACTAACATTCCCTAAGTTATCCCAAATAAGCACAAGTTAATAAAAACTGCTTTTGGCTGGGCGTGGTGGCTCACGCCTGTAATCTTGACACTTTGGGAAGCCAAAATGGGCAGATTGCTTGAGCCCAACAGTTTGAGACACAGCCTGGGCAACATGACAAAACCCCGTCTCTATAAAAAAATACAAAAAATTAGCCGGACATGGTGGTGCACGCCTGTAATCCTAGCTACTCGGGAGGCTGAGATGGGAGGATCACCTGAGCCCAGGAGGTCAAGGCTGCAGTGAGCTGTGATTAGGCCACTGTACTCCAGCCTCGGCAACAGAGTGAGACTCTGTCTCAAAACAAAAGCAAAGCAAAGCAAAACAAAACAAAAAACTGCTTTTATGCTCCCTAACCCCCCTCATGAGATTTAAGATTGAGAGAGACAGCGGGGAAAGGAGATTTGATTTGAACCTCACCTCTTGGTGGCACTTGGAAGTGTGAGCAACCCGCACATACAGAAGAAAATCAGTGTTTTGGACCCCAGGCCCATCTGGCTGGACCAGTTGTGGGGGACCCTGCTCTGGCCACAAGGTGTAACCACGAAGATGGGCGTCAGGAATCTGGCCGGGAGTGAAATGTTGCATTAGCAGATGGGCTGGGACAGTAGGAAATTGGGTATGAGGAGTAGGGGAGAATGAGTCTGTTTGGTCTGTCTTAGTGTAATCTAGGCAGCTGGCTAGAATACAGAGTTCTGCCCCTTCACCCCCAGTCTCTGATTTACTAAATTTTAGCAGAGAGAGGAGCTCAGGAATCTACATTGTTAAGAAGCACACTAAGTAACTCTGATGCTGGTGGTCTTGGAATGGTCATGGCAGGCTGCAGATCTCCAGATCCTTGAGACTGAGAAGTGAGCCTGCTCAGGATCCTGTCTTCCATCCCCTTCTTCCTGGTGTACTTATTTCTGGCTTTCCTCTCTTTACTATCTGCGTATCCCCCCCCCCCACCCTTTTTTTTTTTCAAGATTTCAGTGTTGTTGACTCAATCTCACCTTTGCCCCCAGGCAACTCTCTCCTTTGTACCCTGGGTTCAAAAGGCTGCACCTATAAGAGTGAATATCTGTAGGTGAGCTGAGGACATTTCTAGGTATCCCTGAAGAAGAATCACATACATTGTCAATGACATGAACTCACCTGTGGTAGTTTGGGGTATCTGGGTCTCCCCAGACAGCATGGCAATACCGTGCAGGGTCTCGACTCAGAAGTAGGGGTCCTTGCACTGGAGGGACTTGACAAGAGGTCAGTTTCCCTCCATATCTTGGAATTCCAGTACTTTTTCTGGGTTGATCTTCCTCCCCTGGACCTCTCTGCTCCTCAACCCTCCTTAACACCTCTGTTCCCTCACTCACCGGCTAGAACAGCCTGGATTCGCTGAGTGGCCTCTCTCACTGCGGCCAGGGCTCGGGATACCCCTCTCGTCCCTTCCCCCTCAGGATCCCAAGCTCCATCTGATATATGATCTCCTAGATAGCAGGTTTGGATTCGTAGGGGTTGAGGATCACCGGAGCTAGGGAGGGTGAGGGAGGAAGAGCGAGATTTTGGGGGGAGTTGGGAGAAAGGGGGCCTGAGAAGGCTCACAGACTTCTGTGTCTCATCATGTAGACATCGGCTTGCAGCAACCCTGAGGACTAGTGGTGGCAGCAGCAGCAGCAACAGCATCTCCCTTCTGTGTCTCTCCGTAGATACAGCCTGGATCCTGTCTTCCGTCCCCTTGTTCCCTGGCTCACTGTTTCTGGCTTTCCTCTCTTTACTGTTTTTCACCATGTACCCCCCACCACTCTTGCTTACTTTTTCAAGATTTGAATGTTGTTGACTCAGTCTACAGTTCCCTGCCAGGAGGTCGGATATGAACCACCCTCTTCCAGAGGGGCCAGAGGTGGAGTGCTGGGGGAGGGGAAGTGTTATTCTGAGGCCTCAACCGACCTTTCCAAAGAGGAGCCTGCCTTATCCATGATGAAACTCTTTCCTTGTTTTTTGTTTGTTTGTTTTGTAGAGATGGAGTCTTGCTATGTTGTCCAAGCTGGTCTTAAACTCCTGGCCTCAAGTGATCCTCCTGCTTTGGCCTCCCAAAGTGCTGAGATTACAGGTGTGAGCCACTATGCCTGGCTGGGAACTCTTTCCTAATCCTTTCCATCCCTCGTCCTATTTCTTTTGCCTTTCTGAGTAGAAAACCTTGGAACCTTCACAGAACTAGAAAATTGGTGTCACCGGCCGGGCACGGTGGCTCACGCCTGTAATCCCAGCACTTTGGGAGGCCGAGGCGGGTGGATCATGAGGTCAGGCGATCAAGACCACGGTGAAACCCCGTCTCTACTAAAAATACAAAAAATTAGCCGGGCGTGGTGACGGGTGCCTGTAGTCCCAGCTACCCAGGAGGCTGAGGCAGGAGAATGGCTTGAACCCGGGAGGCGGAGCTTGCAGTGAGCCAAAATTGCGCCACTGCACTCCAGCCTGGGCGACAGAGCAAGACTACGTCTCAAAAAAAAAAAAAAAAAAAGAAAAAAGAAAATTGGTGTCACCGTAACAGGGGAAGTGGGGGACAGAGATATTCTTTGCTTTGTAGTTGCCTGCTGGTCTCCCTGGACGTGGGCAAACAAGGCTTCTGCACTTCACTAGCCCCAGTTTCAGAACTGGGTGGCCTCTAACTAAACTACAGGACTTCTAGGATCTCCTACGTCTATGTAGGGCTCTTAGTGGGTGCTCAACAAATACATGTTAGTTGACTGACACTTCCTCTAAGAGGCTGTTGTGTTAGGTCTGTTAGGTTTCACAGAAGCTGCTTTTAGGTGTGCAGAGGAGGGAAAAGAAAACTCTTTTTTTGTTTTGAGACTGAGTTTCGCTCTTCTCGCCCAGGCTGGAGTGCAATGGCGCAATCTTGGGTCACCACAAACTCTGCCTCCTGGGTTCAAGCGATTCTCCTGCCTCAGCCTCTGAAGTAGCTGGGATTACAGGCGCCCACCACCAAACCCAGCTAAGTTTTTTTTGTATTTTTAGTAGAGATGGGGTTTCACCATGTTGGCCAGTCTGGTCTCGAACTCTTGACCTCAGGTGATCCACCTGCCTCGGCCTCCCAAAGTGCTGGGATTATAGGTGTGAGCCACCGCGCCCGACCAAGAAACTCTTAAAATGGACGTTAATGTTCAAAGATGTTCTTAAGGAACTCTGTTTTCTTTGTTCATGCTGTGTTTTCACATCCTGTTTCCCTTGCTTGGATACTGCCCCCTCCCCTGCCTGCCTGGCTAATTCCTACCTTTCTGGTAATTACCCCTGGAAGCCTTTCTTAATACCCCCAGCCCAAATTCCACACCTGCCACAGTGGGTGGGGAACCACCTCACAGGAGGGGTCTCCCCTCCTAGCTCCTAACAGAACACTGTCATCCTCTGTTATAATTGTTGGCTTAGCGGCTCTCCCTCCACATCCTGAAGTCCTTGAAGGTAAGCCTGTTTCCTGTTGGTCTTTGTGTCCACACCACTCAGCACAGCCCTTCGGGCCTGGTCTTCAGTGCGTGGATGAAAACAAAGAACCTAACCCCATTATTTAACTTTTGAAGAAACATTTGTTTTAAGGCAGTATACTTTAATAGCTAATTGGTGACCAACATGGATTAGAGTTTAGAGTAGGGCTGCTGACTTCCCAAGGATTTTATACTTTCACATGCCAGAACTGTGGTTGAAACTACTGATTACAAGGGAGACACCTGTTGGGGCTCAGAAACTGTAGCCCAAAATATAGCATTGACATGCTGAACTGAAGAAGAAGCCTTAAGGTCTTCCTGACCATCCTGCCTTTCCCCCTTAAACACACACCCACACCCCTCATCTCTCCCAAAGCACAGGCTCTATCTGCCTAAGATCCAGACCCAATAAGTAAAGCAGTTTTTTTCTTCTTCCCTAAGACCAAGAATGTAACCACACCTGAGCAGGCCTCTTCACTGTTAGAACTGTTTACAAGTTAATCTCTGTTCCCAGATCCATTCATTCTCCTTAGTAATCATTTATTGCCCCTCAACAGAATTCCTGTTTTTCACCCCTCCTATAACCTGTTTTGCTAGGATCCAAGGCACCATTCTTTCTGTAACCTCAGGACCATATATAAGCTTCTGTATTTCATGGGGGTGGGGTTAGGTCTTCATTCTGAAGGTTCTCATATGTACATGTTAAATAAATGTGTATGCCTTTGGAGAATTGCTTGAACCCAGGAGGCGGAGGTTGCGGTGAGCCAGGATGGCGCCATTCTACTCCAGCCTGGGCAACAAAAGCAAAACTCCGTTTCTAAATAAATAAATAAATAAATAAATGTGTATACCTTTTCTCCTATTACTCTGTCTCATGTCTGATATTTCAGTGACCCTCCAGGGGCCCAGGGCCTTGGCTTTCACACACCCAAACTCTGGAGGCAAACCCACTCTGCCACTTTTTATCTATATAAATGTATATGTAACTTTGACCAAGTGCCCCAGTTTTCCCATGTGTAAAATAGGGGTGACTGTACTTTTGGGGTTGTTATTGAGAAGTAAGTGAATATTTATAAAGCACTGAGAACAGTGTATGGTTTATGGTAAATACTAAGTCAAGTAAAAAAATACGTATTATACACAGTGGCGTGGCTCATGCCTGTAATCCCAGCACTTTGGGAGGCTGAGGTGGGATGATCACTTGAGTCCAGGAGTTTCAGGCCATCCTAGGCAACATAGGGAGACCCTTCATCTCTTAAAAAAGGAAAAGGAAAAGAAAAAAAGAATACGTATTATATACACTGTCAATGCAGAGGAGACCTGTTCTTTTATTATTTACTTAGATTTATTATTATTCTATTTTATTTTTCTAAGACATGGTCTTGCTCTGTCCCCAAGCTGGAGTGCAGTGGCTCAATCACAGCTCACTGCAGCCACAACCTCCTGGGCTCAAGCAGTCCTCCCACCCCAGCCTCCCGAGTAGCTGGGACTGGAGGTGTGCACCACAGCGACCAGCTAATTTTTGTGTTTTTTGTAGAGACACAGTTTCGCCATGTTGCCCAGGCTGGTCTTGAACTCCTGAGCGCAAGTGATCTGCCCACCTTAGCCTCCCAAAGTGCTGGCATCACAGGCATGAGTCACCATGCCTGTCATATTTTAAAAATTTATTTTTATTTTCATTTATTTTTGATATAGAGTCTTGCTCTGTGACCCTGGGTGAAGTTCAGTGGCATGATCATAGCTCACTGCAGTCTCAAACTCCTGGGCTCAAGCTGTCCTCCTACCTCAGCCTCCTGCAGGTGTGTGCTGCCATGCCTGGCTAATTTTTAAATTTTTTGTAGAGACAGGATCTTGCTGTGTTTCCCAAGCTGGTCTTGAACTCCTGGCCTGAAGTGATCCCCCAAAGCACTGGGATTACAGATATGAGCCACTATAGTTGGCCTGTTCTTTTATTATCACCATGTGTACAAATCTTTTTTTTTTTTTTTTTTTTTGAGATGGGGTCTCACTCTGTCATCCAGGCTGGAGTGCAGTGGCGCGATCATGTGTACAAATCTTTAGAAAGACTCTTGTTTTTTTCCCTAAGGCAAACCTAGTCTTTTTCTCCAAATGTCTGGTCTTTTTTCCCCTAGATTTCTTAGGTTTTTCTGGCCTAAGTCTGCAGCTCCTAATGCTCTGCTGCTCCCCTGTGGCCATACTGAGACAGGGTGTGCTCTGGCCACGATATGGGCTGATCTTAACTTCATACATGCGGGTGGAAGAACTTCATGCATTTTAATAAATCCTTCCTGTCCTTTTAAAATTTAGATTTTTAATTTTTTGAGACAGGGTCTCACTTTGTCACCCATGCTGCTATGCAGTGGTGCGATCACGGCTCACTGCAGCCTCAACCTGGGCTCAAGCAATTCTCCCGCCTCAGTCTCCCAAGTAACTAGGACCACAGGTACATGCCACCATGCCCAGCTAATTTTTAATCTTTCTTCTCTTTACACTGCAAATTCTTCTTAATCTTTCAAGATCCAACCCTGAGGTTATCTGCCAGTTGAGACTTCTTTGCTCCCCCAGGTAGAGAGAGTTCTCAAATCTTCTGTTCTCCAATAGCGTTTCTTTCACATCTTTGAAGGAGCTCTCTTATTATGTTATCCTGACATTTATTTTTGTATTTTTTTCCCTGCTAGATGGTGGGCAGGCGCTGAGTCTTATTTGTCTCTGCCTCTTTAAAGAGGTATGAAGTAGTTGCAGGGCAATAATGGAGGTAAGAAAATGAAGCTGAGGAAGGAGCAAGGAGGTAAGGAAAGAGTGAGAATAATATTCATTTTATGGGGCACAGCTTTGTGCCAACACGTTGTTCCAAGCACTTTATTTTATTTTATTGATTGATTGATTGATTGAGACGGAGTCTTGCTCTGTCACCCAGGCTGGAGTGCAGTGGCATGATCCCGGCTCACTGCAACCTCTGCCTCATGAGTTCAAGTGATTCTCCAGCCTCAGCCCCCCAAGTAGCTGGGATTACAGGCATATGCCACCACACCTAGCTACCTTTAGTATTTTTAGTAGAGATGGGATTTTGCCATATTGCTCAGGCTCAAACTCCTGAGGTCTCCCCAAAGTGCTGGGATTACAGGCATGAGCCCCTGTGCCTGACCCAAGCACTTTATACTCATATAATTCTTTCAGCCACCTCATGAGGTAGGCATTATTATTATCCCAATTTTACAATCAAGGCACAGCAAAATTAGGCAATGT